CCATCAACCGCCCAGATTGTCGCCCATACACAAAATTGCGAGGTTACGCAGGCGTCAAAGGTCGCCTGCAGGCCATCACAAAGATAACAAAAAACGCGCTGCTGCCAGGAGTCGCAATGCAGGTATCAAATCAACTTTACCATTGCGTACTAAAATATAAGGTTGTTAATATATGTTACAAAGCACGAGGTAAAAACTAGATCAACAAACTAGGGCAGCAGCGCAAATAATAAATAATAAAAACGCAAATAATAAATTACGACTTTGAACATAATTTAAAATTGAAGTTGACCATTGCGTACTAAAATATAAGATTGTTAATATATGTTACAAAGCACGAGGTAAAAACTAAACCAACAAATTGACGGTTTGAACATAATTTAAAATTGAAGTTGAATTATTGACGAGTACATGAGAAATTCTTCAGGAAATTTCACCCATATAAAGCTCTGCATGGAACCAAGTATCAGCTCGCATGTGATAACAATGTCAATTTGAGAATTTGATGGTATTAACACCAAGAGAATCATGTACTCCTTCGGATTTAAAAGATCAAACGGGTCATCAACAAGCTGAATGTGAGGCCACAAGACAACAATGGAAACAATTACAAGCTATTTTAGAACACTTAATCTGCCTTCTAGGCACGGGAAATTAACTGAAAAAATGGTTCACTATGCGTGAGCTCAGTGTACTCTTACAGAGATAACGTTTAATGTTTCTTTAACGTTTCTTTCATTAACAGGAACCGTTAATGAAACACATATTAAAGAACGAAATGAGCAATCTTGGGTATAAACTTGAAGCAGTAATGCTGGAAAATGGAAAGTGAACAGGTAAAATAAAATTGAAGAAATATTGTATATGAACTTCTGCAACCCAGAATATCCTGAATTTTAAGAACAAATATTCGACAGACAGTAGTTAGAAACAAACGATGAATAATAAATCGACGAAGTAATAAAATAGATGCAAATCCTGATGATGCGCCAGAGCTTCAGTCAACATAAACTATTGTTACTCGAATATATGAAACATTTGTGCCATCGTGCAAACCTTAAAATAATAATCTTTCATTAATAAATTTAAGTCGTAATAACTCAATTTTACGTGTTCTGAAAAAAAGGGAACAGATAAATGCTTGAAAATTAAGCATACTAATTTAATGAAAAAATAAACAGATGGCTTGAGGGAAGAAAATATACTGTCGTCCGGCAAAAATATTGTAGCGGCTTTTTCCATGATTTGGAAAAATTATGACTTCTCGCACGAAATTCATGCTATCTCATAATGTGAAAGGATAAAAAGTGATAATATTATCACAAAATAAACAACCTAAGTTAAAAAAAATCCCTAACTACACAGGCACTCAGGAGCAATATAAACTCATTATTGCATACAAAATTACACTACCATGTCATTAGACAAAAGTTCAAAGGATATTTCGTCGCAATTAAAAAGACCATCAATCAACGCATAGAGAAAATCTTATCGATAGATGAAGTTTGCATTGGAAACACAATACGTTACGCTTTTGCACTGACTGCAAACAGTTCTTAGTGTACCCAAGGCGACTAGATTTAAAATCAGAAAGTTTTAGACACGAAATAAAACTTTTTAAATGAACTAACGAAGGGAAACAGTTATTTTTGATCCAATACCTGAATTTGGAGCGACAAACGGCAGTATTTGCACAGACGTCGCCATAACCTCAAGAGTTTGGAACATTTAAAACAGGCGAAGCGAGCGACTCTGATTAGAAATTTACATCTATCCCGATTCTAGAACTAAATTAATTCGTCAAGTCACACGAGGAAAAGAAATACGGAGCTGAATCAGCTGATTGTAATTGCTTCAACTTTCAGAAAAATGTGTTTGATGTTTAATTTATGATTTCTTTCGAATGAATGGATACAGAAAAAAGATTTCAATCAAATTTACACATTTTCTCATGAAAATAACTTCAAGAAATCACTCAATCCTTCAAAAGATGCTGATAATTCACACATTTTTAGCTCACCACGCCTTTAGACTGCTGAAAAAGCCAGACCGGTCACCCAGAAAGGAAGACGGATCAACTATGAGAAGAATAGCACGCGTCCGTCATTTGCGTGCCTCACAATAGCAGAGACATAGTTCATTTTAACCAAATGTTTAGCCATAATTCAATCGTAATATGATTAAAATATTAATTGATAATAATTATGAATATTCTCAAACGCATGGAACGGCTAACAAGGACGATAATTTTACAAACCTGAGACTGATGAAAATAAAACATAATAATTATTTTCGTCATTTTGCTGCTCGTACGTGAAAGGTAAATACGGCGGCAGGCCATTAGAGGCGCGCGACGATTTCCTCCAACTGAAGTGTTGGAATCGCCGAAACTTGAAGTAAAACTTCCAAGGCTAGGGAAGGAAAGTTGAGCAAGTATTTGCATGAGCGCAGGAGAAACTCGTGTATCTTGAATCCAAATCCATTACTAATTTTATTTCTGTTTCGATGAAATTTTTTTCTCAATGTCTCTTTTCAACCTCATCACATTTTTCTCAAATCACATTGAACGTAAATGAAAGAAGGTGAAAAAAATTCTATAGCAAATGTTATTTTTGAGCGAAAAAATGCATTTTTGAAAGTTTACAGAATTTCAGGACTGAAATTTCTTGGAATGAAAAAGAAAATCTACAGAGAATTCTTGTACCGGATGAAGCAGTTTCAATAAATTCATAATAGCACAGAGCAAAGTTTTAAATGTAGTCGCACGAATTCAACCGATATAGAGAGCTACTATATGCATGATTTTTTTTACGTCTCCGAGAACCCATATGATCACATAATAGGCAGCATGACAATCACGAACGTTCAAGTACAAGAGAGCATCAGAATAGAAGGTTTATCCAATAAATTTCCCTCCATATTCCAGGTGACCAATACTTGAACAAATTAATGATGTAAACATGCTACCGACATCATCCCGCTGCTCATCGAGTTAGATTACCTAATGAAAATGGGATTGATCCTCTCAGCCAAAAAAAGTAGCAACCACTTGCCACTAATTGAGTCAAGGCACAATTTAAAAAGCAAGGGGAAGGGCGAATGTGTTTGCGTTGTCTGAATTTTGAGACGACATGAATGCAAACGAAGAAATTCTAGCGACATGCTGGAATTCTCAGTAAAGAGTTTCTGGACTTTCTGCCTGAATAAAAAATTACAGATCGTCAATTTTATTGAAAAAATACACCAGCTCATAATAAAATGCATTTAAAACGCAAAGCTGCTCCTGAAGACGAATGTTATTACTTTACAATGACAGCATCGAGGCATTGAATAAACAGAGAAGACCGAAGCTGAGCAGAGAGAGCAGAGTTCTAATACTTCGGAATCGAAGTTTAGAGCAAAGTTCTCTTTCTGCGACTGTAAGCGTGAGAAGCCAGAAGAACTTAGACTGAGGAGCTTACAAACTTCAAAATTGAATTCAAGTTAAAGCTCTCCATTTAATGACAAACGATTTGGTTCCTCAGTATTTTCAGAGGATGGAGAGCTTCCATTTATCCAGAAAACCCCGGCGCCCGAAACCAATGCAACGATAACGCAACATCATCTTCGAATACCCTTTTAAGGGGAGCGTCTGGCCTCCAGAAAAACTTTTTTATTTACGGACGGATCACTTTGAAACTTAGTACACATATGTAAAACAAAAATCTAAGACTTTTTTGTTCGAGTCAATTTTCCAAAAAAATTGAAAGAAAACGTGAAATTCATAGAAAACGGCAAAAAAAGGGGGTCCTCAAGAAATCTATCTACTCCTAGGATTTTCAAGCTACAACATTTGAAATCATAAATCAACGTAGAGAGATGGCAGTGGTACCGTTGGATAGGGCAGAATGTCAGCTTTAAGGTGAGACTAAAAACCGGAAAAGCCAAAATTGTCGATTTTGGACCCAGACGCTCCCCTTAAATAATACTTTAAACCTTACAATAATTTCCATTTTTAACTGAAAAATATTTTGTACAAGCACAGCAAAAATTTAATGAAATGAATACACATTATATCACTGATTTTCTACATAGTGTAGAACAAACTTTTTGTTTCAAACAAAATTGCTAGCTAAAATTAAATTCACAGGAAGAAACCTTTCAAAACAGGCATTAACATCATAAAATATTCGGATGAAGTAAAGCAAATTGAGATAAAATGAACACACGGTTGATAATCCAACACTGTGCCATCTTTTCATTTAATTTAACATCATAAATTAGCAAGCAAGACGCACGTTAATTTCCAATATAATAACTTTTCATAACATCAAATAACAAGACCAGCCAACAATAGAAGTCTTATAGAGCTGAATTACGCAATAGTTCGCTTCGATTCATGAGCAGTACTCAAGGTCACGCAAATATGCATAATTTCGTGAATATCCGTCAATATCAAATGCTGAAGGTGACGAAGTTGGAGAAAATACCAGCCAGTCAAGGTCAAGGAGTAAAAATACAGATTATAAGACGCGTGTTAAAGATTTACGTGCCATCTCGGACAATAGATCCAAAAAATGTCGAATAAAGGTATAAATGTAACTGAGGCATATAAGTCTGAGAGTGCCAAGTCCCATTGATTAGAAATACTTGACAAACATCAAATGCAAGCGAATTATTACGAGGAAAAAATTCATAACATCTACGAATTTGCGTCGAAAATACTGATAAAAACACCCTAAACGTAGAAAAAGTTTCACTTGCTACCAGATCAGCAGAACGCAAATTTTTATGGAATGTACAAAAATCTAACAATAAAATAAAATATTTCTAGGAATAAGAAGAGCCTAAGATAATCTTCTTTCTCAAAAAACTCACATCGAAAAATTCATCTTCGATAATGTGAGTTATTTCGAACATCATAAAGTATATATACAGAACTATGAATAAAAAATAAATACAAAAATAAAAAGAATGCAATTGGAAAAATACCAAAACAATGAAGGGGAAAAACTACGTACCTTGCACAATGAGCTTGACGAGCGTCTCGTCCCTGTTGTTGACGTGGCAGCGATACCTGCCTGAGTCTGTAGCGCGCACGGGCTTGAACTGCAAGGCATAGTTGGCGTCCAGCTGGATCCTGCCTTCGTGGTGGAAGTGCGTGATCGAGTCAGACTTGTACTCCACCAACTTGACGTCGGAGTGAGAAGACTCGTCATTGATCTGAAACGTAGACATTTAAATTGGTTACAATTGGATGATCAAATCCGACTTGTATTCCACCAACTTGACGTCGGAGTGAGAAGACTCGTCATTGATCTGAAACACAGACATTTAAACTGGTTACAATTGGGTGATCAATTCAGACTTGTACTCTACCAACTTGACGTCGGAGTGGGAAGACTCGTCATTGATCTGAAACACAGACATTTAAACTGGTTACAATTGGGTGATCAATTCAGACTTGTACTCCACCAACTTGACGTCGGAGTGGGAAGACTCGTCATTGATCTGAAACACAGACATTTAAACTGGTTACAATTGGGTGATCAAATCATACTTGTACTCCACCAATTTAACGTCGGAGTGAGAAGACTCGTCATTGATCTGAAACACGGACATTTGAATTGGTTACAATTGCATGATCAAATCCGACTTGTACTCCACCAACTTGACGTCGGAGAGGGAAGACTCGTCATTGATCTGTAACATAAACATTTAAACTGGTTACAATTGGGTGATCAATCAGACTTGTACTACACCAACTTGATGTCGGAGTTGGAAGACTCAACGTCTAACCCCTGCAATACAGGGGTTCGGCAAAATAAGGAAAACACGTTACATTTTGATATAGTAATTTTATAAAATGTTATAAACATTGAAAACGTGACGTATTTTTTAGTTTTATCGTGTATTGTTGCTGCTAATTGATATTTTATTCTTGCACAGATATTTTTAGTATTACTTGTGTCTTTTTTATAATCTAACCTATAATCTATAAATGGCAAACCTCTCTGATTTGCAAAGAGGCCAAATTGTTGGTAACAGAAACATCCCGAATGCTTGACGTTTCTAGAGGTACTGTCTCAGAAGTACTGACGGTACTGTTTGACAAGACTAATTTGAAAAAGAAGGGAAATTGTCCTCGGCAAGGCACAGGTCAGGCCGAAAGTCGAAGTAGTCTGAGAGAGACCGTCGATACCTAAATCGAATTGTGAGGGACAATCGAAAGACCACGGCTGCCTTCTACTTCTGAAGGTGTCCAAATTGCTGCAGACCTTAATGGGCACCTACAGAGCCCAGTTTCCATAATGACTGTCCACCGAGAGCTGCACAGATCTGGATTCTATGGACAAGTTACAATTAGAAAAACCTCTGGTTTCAAATACAAATGCTTCAAAGCGTTTAGAGTGGTGTATAAACCTCCAGATTTGGTCCCTCGATCAGTGGAAAATGCTATTATCTCTGACGAATCATCGTTTACCTTATTTCCATCCTCCGACCGAGTTTACGTTGGAGACGGTCAAAAGAGTCATATAGAATCCCGGCTGCCTCTTCCCAACCGTAAAACATGGCGGGGGATCTGTGATGATCCGGGGTGCTATTTCTTGAAAATCAACAGCCGCGACTATTAAGGAAGTTTGGAGGACCAATTAGTTCATCCAATGGTTCAAGCACTATTTCCGGAGGGGAACGCCATCTTTCAAGATGATAATGCCCAGATCCAAACAGCTAGAATTGTTATAAATTATAACTCAGTACCGGTACTCACTGCAGTGAGTGACAGAGAGCGCATTTTCTCGTGGACGAAAACGTGAAGTCACGGACGGACAGACAGACGGACGGACGGACATGGCGAGCAGAATAGCGTCTTGTTTCCCACAAATGAGGAAATGCGCTAAAAATGGCACGACTAAAATTATAATGAAGTTGAGCATCTCATTTGGCCACCACAATCACCAAACTTGAATATTATCGAGCATTTATGGTTGCTTTTAGAGATGCAAGTCAGAACTCGATTCCCGCCGCCATTGTCTTTAAAAGAGCTGAAAGGAGTTTTAACTGAAAAATGGGTTGAAAATTCTTTGGAAACAATTCACAATTTGTATGCATCAATACCTCGGAGAATTGAGGCTGTAATTGCCGCAAAAGGTGGACCTACACCAAACTAAAATATATTTTGCGTATTTTTCAGGTGTTTTCATTATTCTGTCTAAACCCTGTACATTTATACTAATTTCAATCAATAGATACAGCGACGATTGTGGCAGCAAAACCCTCAAAAAATGAGAGACCATAAGTTTAGTTTCAATAAGAGGTTCTAAAACTATTATGATACCAAAACAAAGATCAATAGGATATATGCTGCAGAGAGAACCATTCATTGTGTGTGCAAACTTGTGATTAATCAGAAAAAATTATCTTTAATCATCAATAAATACGGATCATCATAAACCAAGCTGAAAAAAGTCTTTGACATAAGTTTAAACGTAAAAAAATAAATTACTCATCATGTACCCAGAAGTCTCTTGAATGAATAGAAACAAGAGGAAAAAGAAGAAAATTAAAGTTTCCTGAAACCTAGAAGCAATTAGGGATGTCATATAAAAGTTCCAAAGAAAAGTGGAAACAAAATTCGGGTCATTCCTAATCAAGCATTTAAAATAATCAATCATCTCTCAACAAATGACACGCTCATCCAATAAAAATAACCTAGAGATACGAGTTTTTTTCATATCGGTGGAGACTGCTTGATTTTGGTCTCCGAGTTAAATTATTCATTACTTAGCTTAGTTTTGTTGAAGCGCCACGGTTGTAGATGCTTAAAAATGTTTTGTGCGAGATAAATTTGTGTTCGTCAGCTTTCGTCGACGAAAAAAGATCGTGGTAATTGACGCAAGCGTTCTCTAGAAGACATGCAATCCAAATAAGAATTACATCAAGTATGAGCAGAAATTTGCAAACTCTTATGAGTTTTTCAAGTCATGTTTTCTTCTAAATCCTTCACGTTTTCAATGCGCCTTACTTTTTGTTGTGTTTCTATCATGTCTTCATCAGCTTTCTTAATGAAAGATCCGCTCAGTTGGAAAAGAACAAATAACAAAAGATTCGAGGAGAACGTCTTAAAAACACTTTTTTGCGTAGTTTTGTTTGCGACTACGACTGGAACAAATTATGTTCTCTTTCACGCGAGAAACAAATGTTTTATTGTTTTGAAACTCCTCGATCACAACTCATTCCATCCTTTAATGCTATAATTGGAAGTATACTTTGAAGCCAAGTGCATTCAGTACTCAGAACGTTTCTAAACTGAGAATTCGTATTTCATCGTTTCATATTTTGATTGTTTGCACAGTTTCTCCGATGATTCGGTGAGCGCTTTTACTCTGACATGTCTTTGTAAGTTTTCTTGTTATGCGTGAATTATACTTTGCACAATTATCTAAATAACTACGATAACCATTTTATCTTATTGTATTATGATATTGTCTTATTCGTCAGCAGAGACTCGTAAATCATTACAACTTGTTTACTGAGACCCTCTTGCTTTCATTTGAGTAATTCTGGGAAATCCTTGTGAGGATATCCTTGTAAATTGAGGAAATCCTTGTAAATTGTGTGATGAAACTCACCTTAGGATGCCTTGTGTGACGAGCCGTTCACTTCTTTAAGGATTTCGCGTGAAGCCTGACGAGTTTTCTACAAAGTAATATAACAATGCCTGAACTAAAGTGTGCAGAAGAAATTAGTCTGGTTCAAGCGATTCCCTTTGTATGAGGGCAGGCAATTGAATCTTTCAAAGCCTCGGCTAATTTCAGTCTTTAGTTTTTGGTCAAGTAATTAAAACTCACATCAAGTTACTTCGCGCTGTAAAGAAACGTTGCCTGACAACTTCCGACCCAACTTCGGCTGTAATTGTTTCGAAAATTCTTACTTCATTCACAAGTAATTGTACGGGCTGCCGGAATTTCCTCGTATCGAATCATAAGATAGAATGCATGTTCTTTAACAATGCCGTCAAGTTCTAATGTATTGATTATCTATCCATATTCGCTACAGAACAAAGATTGCCCAAAATATGTAGACGATAAAATTGAAAACCGTAGGGCCCATCCAATAAAAATTGACTAAAATGCTTACCTCAACGCAAATGACGCCAAGACAAATGACTATTTTGAAAAAAAAATGTTGAACACCTTTATATCGAGGGAGGAACTGCAAAGTAGTCAATAATCCTAATTAAGGGAAGGTATCAAATAATTTTTCGATTTACGAATCGAATGATATGTTTCTCATTCATTGTTTTAGCATGAAAATTGAAGGAGATATGCATGATTTGAATGAAATTTAAATGAGACGATAAATGACAATACCAATCGTTCAGGAGAGCCAAATTAGAAAAATTGATTAAAAATGAGGTAAAGGCTGGAAAATTTAATTTATAATGTATTTCCAATTTTCCCATTGCCTATTTCTCGTATTGAGCGTACCATCATGAATCGCACGACGTTTTGTAATACAGTTTAATAGGATAATATCCTATAAATTCGATTTTTCTCAAATAAATAGCGAACAAATTTTTTAAATGATTATTTTATATGAATTTGAAACTGCCTCACGCAAAAACTAAAGCCGCACACACATACGATTTGCTGCTTTGCCTATTCCGCACCTTATAAGAACTTATAAGACCTTAAGACCTTTATTGATTGATTAGCAGCTGCAAAATAAGCTCAAAATCAGGTTAATTAATTCAAATAATTATCTATAAAACAATTTTTCAAATAAATCTTTGTGAATTTAATAAATAAATAAATCTAAACCACAAATAAATCTTTGTGGAAAATGATTATTTAATATATATGTGAAACTGCCTCACGCAAAATCCATGGCACGCATACGCATATACAAGCAGTTTGCTGCGTTCAGCGCGCCTTTTCCGCAGCAACTGAATGCGCTCAAAAATCTAATAAAGCCACATTTCTCCATTTTAGACGTAGACTCTTAAAAGATCGATCCCAGTCATAAACCAGACTCTTGTGACAGAGAGGAATGTACATAGAAGCCTATGACAAACGCACATGCAGAGATCAATACCAATTAAGACTGTTGTAATTACCTATGTCACATTTACCAAAAAACCTAAAATAAGAATTTACGCCTCCATCAAAGGGTTAATACTCTCACGAGCGATATATTAGAGAGGAAAAAATGGAATCAACAAACTTGGGCTTCGGTGCTTTTGGTTAAAAACCTCCGCAACGAATCCAAGACACGTACTTTTCGGTTTAATATCGCGACGCTCATTGACTCATTCAACAATACTGAATTGACAATCGAGGCCGGTCCGAGCGATGTCGTGAACACGAGAGCCTGAAAAATAATACCGTCAATTCGATGGCAGCAAAAATGCACGTAATGAGAACTGCCACTCAAATGGCATTTGGTTAACAGGTGTGAACTATTTCATGTTCATCGCTGAACAAAAACGTATCAGAACTTATCCGAGGAATCAACAAGTCGTGCAGATAACGAACTAAATTTCAAGTGTAAACCAAAATAATTCATTAATAATGAGCAGTCTGGTGACGGAAAATACTTTCAAAATAATAGCACATGTGGCAAGGTCTCGAGTGACGATGAATGCGTTATTTACGAGGCGCACAATGACTTGGAAATGTAAGCGGGCCTTAGCTGGAGCTCGAACAGTATTATCCATTTCGTAAGGACCATGAAAAATGAAAGTTTTTCAAAGCTGTGAGAAAAACGATCGTCCTTCTGCGTAAGTAGCTATAAAAAAGGTAGCTTCTCGGAACAAATGTAAGCGACTGTTTTTTGAAAAGTAAGCAACTTCCTCGGAAAACGATTGCTTCTTTCCCTGAAGAAGGATGAAGCAAGGCAAGTGTCCAAGCTTGCAAGATTCATTATTCCCCGAGTGTCAATTTGGTTCAGGTTAGCGTCGGCGGAGGACGGCTGCATTCCTCCGTCTGGAATACTCTTTACAAGAGGGCCTGCAAGACGACACGTCCTAACAATTGCCTTGAAATTCTCTGGTCCTGCTCGGCGACATGGATCCAGAGACCGGCTAAGCAACTGTTCCTAAATGCATTTACGAAGGAAGCCTCACAGGAAGTCGGGTATTCGAAGCGACTCCACGAAATGCACAATATAAATTCAAGTTGTATCGTTTGTTTGGAAACTGATTTTTAAAGCAAATCAAGCGAAGACTTAGTATTCACTTGTGTTTTTCACTGCACATTAATCTTACTACAAGTTTAATCCGCGACATCCCAACCATGAAACAACCTAATTTGGTGCAAACTTGCAGGCAAGAGAAATTTGACTGGTCAACTAGACTCGTACAAAAATGCGTCAAGTCAAAAGACGAATGTTGATCTTTAAGAATGAATGAATCTCAATTAAAGGTCAGATTTCGAACATAAGGTTCACCAATACAGACGCGTTAGCCGCGGGCCTCTTCTATTCAGCCTCAAAGACCGAGAAAATGGGAAATCATTAGTAGCCAGGAACACGCGCAATAATGGAAATAGATCAGGTAAGAATAGCGCAGACAGACACGTTAACTGCTGACACCGATCAAAGTCGTTAGAGTAACTATATGAGGCCATTTATGTCGATCGATAGACGGTACGGTATCAGAACGCAATGTTAATTGAAAACCAGCGTGGACACAATAAAGTTTCCCTCCTGCTCGTGGAAGATTTTAACTAATTTTTTGAACGTGTAATTTATTAGATATTATGATAAACAGCTGCGAAAAATTAGTTACACCCAGAAAGTAGGAATTTTTTATTGTTCTCTCAAAAGGTAAGTAAATAAATATTAGTGCTAATACCTAATAATTAGTTCACAGTAGAACATAACAATTGAATTAAACACGTACTGTACAATGAGGAAGGTGAAGTAGATGAAGGTACGAAGATAAAGAAGGTAAAGTTTGGAGGTTCCTGGCCATAAATTAGCCATGCTTTAATGTTAGACAACGACAAAATTCATAGTTTTAGTACCAGAATTGAGAAATTAATGGAAATTTTCAGGTCATTTTAGTCACAAGCAGCCAATACAGGCATTTTTTAAGCACCAGTAAAAATTTCAAGCACCAGTAATTAAGTGGCACTTAGCAGCAGCATTCAAATATTAAATGAATTAATCGATACTTGTTCTTGAGAGGAAGTTATTGTGATAAAAAGTGGTCGAAATTGTAACTGAAAGAGATGTAGAAGGAAGAGTTTAAAATTGGCAGATAGTAGAGTTCGCGGGTAGAAAAACCTCTATGAACAACGCAATCCAGCAGTACTTGCGGACGATGAATCTTTCCATATATGCTGCAGTAAAGGCAAGTTTTTCGTGGTACGTGAAGCCATAAAGTGAGTGCGGGAGTCAGTCGATCGATATGGAGGAGCGAGGGCTGCTATTTATAAGAGGCGAGCCACGCAGACAAAGGACGCAGCGATCGTCCCTAGGCGAACAAGGACAATATTCCTCAACTATTTTAATTGCACTGCGAGCCATAGACAACACTGCCTTCCCTAACTCAAACTTCTCGACTGAACGCGCTTGGTTCTGACGGTTCCAACAAAAGAACTGGAGGGCACACGGATGCGATACGAGGTGCATTCTTTGTATTGTTCAAATTCCCGGACAATACATATATCTCGGCTACGTATCAAAATGAAAATAAATATAATTTATTCGTAAGTTAAAAATAGGACTTTAGGAAATTTAATAATAACCTAATAAATCCTAAGTTCATTAGAATTGTTTCAATTCAGACATTAATTAAGGGGACCGATTGATAATTTTGATAACTTCTATAGTTATTATCCGATTGACATGAAACTTCACATACATACGTAAAATGTAAAAAGAAAAACATTTTGCTCCTGTGAATTTTTCGAAAAAATTGATAGAAAACGTGATATTCATAGAAAACGGACAAATAACGGGTACTTCCGTTGAATGCGTTGAAAAGTGAGCTTTAAGATGAGCCCAAAAAGTGGAAAACGCCAAAATTGAAAATTTTAGGTTAGACGGTCCCCTTAATAACTACATTAGGTTTCATATTGATACCGACCATTGATACCAAAGTTCACATATTGATACCGACGAACATTCGCTCTTCTGAACGAACAAAAGGGTTTTGAACTAACGCCAAGAGTTGACAGTGTTCAGCAAATGCCTGTAACAGTTGGGATCAAAAGTGCTGAAGATTTTCGCTATCGTACGTTCATCTGAAAATATAGTTATTTATTTTGGCCTCCTTGAATTCCAACGATGAGCGTAGGAAAATTTCTTTAAAATCTCGATAAATGAGGCTCTGGAGAAATTATCTCATTGAATTCTACTTCAAACCTCAACGCTAGATCATTTATAACTGAATATAGTAAATATAAATTCTCATCTTAGACTCCGAAATCGCATATTAATACCATATCATATTAAGCCCATATCCTACAAAAGGCGTCATCACCCCCCCCCCCNCCCCCCCCCCCCGAAAGCAGCGGCATTCTTCAGAAAAATCCAAGCAAAAAAAGTAATCATTTGCTATGAGTCTCGAGGCGACAAAGATCAGACACAAGGCTGGCGTTTCAAGTCAACGGTAGCGCACAGTGGGGCCATAGAACACTGTTTTTAAATTGCTGCATATTTCAAAAGAAGAAAATTTCCTGCCCGCAGCATAGGAGGTTTAATAAATCCAAGCGTGCCAGCGGCGCACAACTGACACTGATAGAACGGAGGTCCGAACCTCTTCAGTGGCTTAGGTCAACACACAAATAATAAAGGGTGGCTTGCAGTTGAATTGAACAGAAGGTACGAGGCTTTCCATTGTCTTAGACCACGAAAACATAAGTGAGATAACGACGAGTGTTGATAAATGAGCATCTTCAATTTAAATAAGGTAAAGGTAGATGGCTAGTCGATATAGAAAACAAGACAAACATCGCGAGTTTGCCGCCAGGAGAGGATCTAATAGTGCTGACCAGCGACGCAGGTGATAAAAATTGACCGGGACAAAATTATCCTCAGTTCAGGAAGGTCCAAAGAATGTCTTGCAAAGTCCAGCATTATTCTGATGCGAGTGGAAACTTTACGCGAGAAATAGATTACCGTAATATTATTTCGCTTTGCAATCTCGCAAGTTGACATATCTGTTTAATTAAAAAGTTAAGCTCGTATATACGAGGTAAAATATAACTTAGTACTACTCACTGCAGTGAGTGACAAAGAGCGCATTTTCTCGTCGACGAAAACGCGAAGTCACGGACGGACAGACAGACGGACGGACAGACAGACGGACGGACAGACAGACGGACGGACAGACAGACTGACGGACAGACAGACGGACGGACAGACAGACAGACAGACGGACATGGCGAGCACAATAGTGCATTTTCTCCATAAATGAGAAAATGCGCTAACAATCACAAGCGAATAAACAGAAATGTTTCATTAATTGCATCATGGCCTTGATGACACAGACACATGTCGCCGTATACTCACCTCACAGCCGAGACACGTCCACACGAGCAGCAATACGTAGGTTTGTGAGGCGGGAGGGCAGGGAAGTGTCACGTTGTTGCCGGCCGCCGTGACGACGGCATCCAGAGCGCCACCTGCACGGGGTAAAGATTAACTTAGTTAGAAGAAAAACTCATTAAATTGAATGTAGTGTATGGATGTAAGTTAAGGAAATATGGTGTTTAATGTGTATATAACTTCAATATATACTGTGACTGAATTGTCCCATGAAGTAATGCAGTATGTAGAATACATGCGTCCAAGTTTTGATACAATTCAAGAGATGCGATATGTACGTCGACATAAGTTCAGAAGAATTACTAGGTGTGTGGATACAAGTTAGAGGGGGTGCGATGAGTTTATACAACTGAATAAGATGCGCTGAACATCACAACCATTGATGGAAAAGGTTGTGGATAGGAAAAGTTGATAGGAAAAGATAGGAAAGGATAGGATAAGAGAGGATAGAAAAAGTTGCAAGTCGTGGCAACGAAGAAATTGCAGTGATAAATAACGCTTTTTGAATGAAATTGAATTCAAGAAGAAATTCTTAATTCGATCTTCACTTGACTAACAGAAATTTTTTTAGCATAAAGCAAATCTTAGGTTTCAAATCTGGACCACTTAAGGATCAAGCATCATCCATCGCATCAGGATTTGCTTTTCTACCATAAGAAGGTCATTAAAAATAAAGTTGATTGACTATTCGCATAATACAAGTTTAATTTTGCACATTCCTGTGAACACATTGAAAGCGAAGTTAAGAAAATGCTTGATTTGCATTTAAATTCTGTAAGAAATGACAATTACCAAACTACAGTATGCATGCACCAAAAGTGTTGTGTTATACCGACATTAATAGTTGCAGGACTCTGCTCAAAAAATTTCCTACGATATTTTGCGAGTAGAAGCGTCCTGGTATATCTGAACTTACGACGTTGTTCTGTTCGAATTAGGAAAGACATTCGTACTTCGCCTGATTTTTGACGTAAGTCGTAACATACGTAGCCATATACATAAAGACGGAAACAAAAGCGTTTATTGCGTAGTGGGATGCTGCAGACTCCATCTTGCTCTGTACTGCGCCGCGTACAATCGTGTATATCCTTCTACTAAAACACGTACGTAGGTCGCCGTACGACGTTTACGACGCAAAACCGTGAGATGCGAAGAGAGCTTTTTCATAGTAAATGGGAGATGCATTGTAACCACGGAGCTTCGTTACTCTAGAGTCTGGACGGCGTTCCGAGTTACGATGCCTACCGCAGAGTTTTTTCATTATAAAAATTTTTGATAATGCCCAGTAGATATTGACTTGTTGACGGAAGGCCGCACGAGGTATTTTCCTCAGATGCCCGAGGTTTCATGGAACTGAATAGAAAAGAAGACATAGCCATTAGGAATGGAATGAGTCATGTTATTATACTGTACTTTGATTGAATTTGGGTTTTGAAATTGAATACCAATAATAAATTGAATACCAACATTATAAAACATATAACACATATATAACAATTAAACTGAAAAATATTACGTTAGCGGTGTTGTGTAAACTCAGTGTCACATATCACGTCATTAAAATGCTAAAAATAAAATAACAGAAAATAGCATCCTAGTTTCGCTTAATTCATGTCACGTTTACTAATGCACGGAGCATTTTATTACGAAAATATTGTTAATAAGAGAAGACGAATAAGAGATATACTAGAAGCTAATGAAATCACGTCGCTTCTTTTCCTTCTGAAATGTCGCCCGTGATGCTGAAGATCAGGTAGCATGACATTTTCAGCTTAATTACTAAGGAATATAATATTAATTATCAATAACCGACGTTGAATTGTTAAGAAATTTATTGAGAGATTTCAGTACGCGTATTTTGAAGAGTTATTACATAAACGATGACACGTCTGAAAGTGCATGATTAATCATAAACAAAACCAATGCTTTAATAGGAAATTACATCAATCAAAAACAGTTAAATGAATTGACCAATTAGATTGAATAATTTGAGCAATTAACCACAATTTGTTTTAATAACGAAATTAATATTCAGGTAATTAGCAAGTTCTAATATTAAATAACTCAAAATTCCCAAGTTTAAAATCCAACATAAAGCAGCAAAAGACAATGTACGAACATACCTTTTTTTAGTATGTTTAGTTCTATGCGGCATTTAAGCTCCTCGTCGAATATTAAAATCAAATTTTGGCAGTGTCCATAAATGACAATTTACAACAATTTGGAATTGTGTCCATAAATTTCATTATCTATTAAAATCTGCAATTTTTATGTGCATCGGTTTATTTAGCTCATCATTTAACGCAGAATCGTTACACTCAGAGAAGTAACGAGACTTTGTCCAAATAGCGATGCACTTTTCATTATTGTGAGTCATCTTGACCCAGCATCCTGAACCTTACGGGCGAAAAGTGGGTCACAATTCGGACAATGTGACCAATTAATTTTTCCGAGAGAGGGCCAGCAATATCCAGCAATCGCTGCCAAATGTAGCTGACACAACATCCAAAGATGAAGCTGAAATGGTCTGCGGTTGTCGAGCCAAATTGTCTTTCAGGGGTCGTTTCTTTGACGCTCCGTTCGTTCAAATTAGTCACAATTACCGCAGTTGCCTCTTGCTTTAACGGCTGCGATAATTAGAGCCAAGCTGCCTCACCCAAAATCACGCTTGGGTGAAATTACTTCACAAAAGATTTCAAACAGACGAGCTGGGAAAAACTGGGGATCGTAGTCATGTATAATTGAGGCGACTACATGCATTCCTCACCCAACACGTTTTTCAGATTTACTTTCTAGGAAGATACTGAAATCTTCATTACCTGTGATCGTAATATTATTATTAAAAAACAATAATGTTCAAATAAGGAGTTGACTATTAGGCGCGAAGAAATTATGCTTTAGGAGTACAGAGAATGATATCATGGATATATAATATCATTATGATTTCGCCGTATCATTGAAAAGTGAATTCAAAATTTAGTTTAATTGAGGGACATTATAATACAGAGAAAACGATTTGACAGTTTAAACAGTCATCATGCGCCATAGCTTTTAGTGAATTCAATCCGAAGTAACCATCGTTGAAAATAGCGTAAAAATCCGAAAAAATATATGGATTAAAAATTGGCAGGCAAATCCATAGAAGTCTCACGATAAATCTCTCTAAGCTAAACTCATAATGTATTACAACATCAGTAGCATGAACTAATACCACTATAGGTAAATACCACACAGTTGCATATACTAATACAACTATAGGTATATTCACAGCTCGTAGCTGTACTTATTCAGAACAATTGGCAATTTATTAATTTACAGTAAACTTCACGTAGCGCGTCATTTACACTTGACCGAGCGCAAGCGACGCCGCGCGTTGATGACCAAGCTATAAGAGAACGGAAGTAATTACGTCAGCAAACATGTACACAGAGCGACGCCATGCAGCATCACCGCGCGCATACACGATGACGCGGCCAGCCGTCCGTCATGGAGGAGCAAACAATGCAGAGTCAACAGTGCGGTGCGAAGCTGACGTCCGGGAGAGATGTGTAAATAAGGAGCGTCTAATTGAAGCAGTCATAACGAATAAAACTTGAGCTGCAGTCACAATATTGTGTTGTGTGCCGCAGCTTCCGCAGCGAAAGATAATAATTATCGCTCAGGCGACCGCACTCGAGTCCACTTTATTGGGAGCAGGAATGTCAGGGGAGAAATGCGGGCTATTCACTTATAGGGCTGCGAGGTAAACATTTTTATTAATCCATTGCGTACGAGCGTAGTGGAGGCAACAATATTTTCTTCGTTGTTAATCCAGGTCCAAGTTAACTCAATTGACTGTCAGCTAAAAAGAAGGTTGAGCTGTCATTACATGAACTCGTTTAAAAAGATCATTGCTATGACAGCCACGTTCAAACTTGTCAACTTCTTAGCAAGTCAGGAAATACTGGCATAATTGAGTAATGGGAATAGTGGGAATCTAGATAATTTAATACAGTGAATCCACTGAATAAATAATCATTATGAGGTAACCTATTCACTAACATAATTAGGTGTACAGTTACTTTCACCATGCGGTGTACAGATACATTATGAAATTAAAGTGTCTCGTCATCAATAATATTTGTTGACATGGCTTGGTTAAATGAACTAAATATAATAATACACTATACTGATTCACTAACATAATAATTTGGTGTACAATTCCTATCACAATAGAATGCAGTGTACAGGTACAGTACATTTAGACAATAAAGTGGAGTACAGACGCAATCACATTATTATGTGGTGTAGATATGGCAACCAATAATGTGGCGAATAACTGTAATGTCGAGATAGAATAAATCACTCATGCACTATGCGTGCCTAAATAAAGTTAGTGGTCTGTCGCGACTCAGTGTGTGGCACGAGGCATGGGTAACTCAATGAAACCTCTGTTCAAGTACTGAGCTCATTTGTTATGAAATTGAGGAAATGCCCAAATGATGTACAGAGAAATGCTTTCAAGTTGCTCAAAAAAGCGGCAGATAATGAAGTTAATAATGCAACAAAATATTAGTGGCCGATCAGTCTTGTAAAAAAGGAGATCCAAACGTTTGAACTCACGTCAAACCATCCAAATAATAACATTGACGTCATGTTTGGTCTAGAATATAGTAAAAACAAATAACTAATCAAAGCTAACCGAAACCTAGGGCATAAAATCTAACCTAACTAAAGCCAAAACTTGGGAAAACAACTATCAAACGATAAGACCAGGCGTGCGATCAGAACAAATATACAAAGAATAACAAACAAAATAAAATCGAAATCAATGACATGATACCCAATCATATTTGATGCAAAATTCTCCCCATCTTAGCAACGCCAGGGATAAAGAATTAAAACGTAAACGAAATATCCCCTAAAATTTATGATGAAAATCTCCATAAGGTTAACATTCAATGCATCATCTTTACTGATATTTTATGGTAATAAGGCGCTGTGAATCATGATGCAAGCAACTCGCTCGCCAGTACTGTATCATCGGACCAAAAATTACATTATGAAAGTAATGAGAAAAGGGCGCCTAGAAAGAACG